TGAGTTTTATAAATATGAGCATGATAGTGTAGAATACTCATATCCAAGGACCAGTGGTGGGTTTCAAAAAATTTTGGAACCTTTTCTTCTGTAGGTGTGGCCTGCTTTCCGGGTCCACTGGTGGAACCTCTTCTAACCGGTTCGGTAGATTTGATGAACCGGTTCTACCGAATAGGTGCGAACTGGTAGGAACCCACCTCTGGATTGTATGTTATGAAAATGGAAAATAAAAAAAGTATATTTTTAAAAAAAGAAAGAAAACGTTTGCACATTGGCTGTTTCCCCCTAACAATCTGACCCCTTTTTCGTCCCATTAGGGCCACCCCAGAGAACGGTGTCACCCAAGCAAGAGGATGAAGATCGGAAACCCGAAAAGGGGACGGGCCCCGGGAGCGAGAGCGGGACATCCTGCAACGAATTGTCCACCTCCAGTTGCGAGAGCCACTCCGAAGCCAGCACCCCTCAAGAGAACGCCACGAGCGCTCAGCAGCCCACGAGCCACGAGTCCAACACTCTGACGTTGGACCGCCCATCGAAGAAAGCTCCGGTCCAAAAAATGCCCCCACCGGAGAAACGTCGTAACAGCGAACTTTTCCAGACTCTGATGAGTAAGTCCAGAGAAACCAACCTCTCCAAGAAAAAGGTTTCGGAGAAGGTCAGCGTCGAGGAAGAGATGAAAAAGTGCATTCAGGATTTTAAAAACATTCACATCCCTGACGATTTTCCAGAAAGGAAACGCCCGTGGCAATCTGAACTGTTGCAAAAATACGGGCTATAGTTGTCCACACACACACACACCCTCACCGTCCCGATTATCGAATCTCATGTCCCTGGTGATTTAAGTGTCTAATTCCATTTGCCGGTTACTTGTGGATTTACTCCTTGGAGCTCTGCGGCTTCTTTCTTCTTTTCGTGAACTGGATGTTGGATAGGACATGGGTTGACTGTTTTCTTCTCTTTTTTTTTAAAGGATATACGATTAAGGAAAACCTAGATCCTTTTATAATAGTTAACAAGTGCATGGTCAAGACATTTGGTGGGGGGTGTGTGTTAAGCCTCCTCATCCATGGAATCAATATATCATCGGGTCGCTCCGCCATTTTATAGACATAATAGCAGCGATATAAAGTTCCACGGCACAAAATGGTGGTTGGGGAACGATGACGCTTTTATGACTTGTGGACTTCAACTCCCAGAATTCCCGAGCTGTGACTGACTGGGTGGGCGTGGCCATGGTGGGCGTGGCCAGGGGTGTGTGACAGGCAGCCCTCGGCCTCCTGCACCCCCCCCGGAGCAAAAATGGGCAGTGGAGGGGGGGGGGGAAACACCACCGCCATGCCCCATTTTGGGCCTAGTAGGCCTCCCTGCACCTCCCTGGGAGCCAAAATGGGGCATGTGGGGACTCCTGGAAGGTGTGGGGCCAGCCAGCAATTTAACAACCATTTCGCCCGAACCGGCCCAAACCGGCTGAATCCCATCACTGTTCCTGAGCCAGCATGAGGAGCAATGGCTCTTTTATGACTTGTGGACTTCAACTCCCAGAATTCCTGAGCCAGCAATTTTGGGAGTTGGAGCCCAAAAGTCGTAAAGGGGCCATCGTTTCCCACCTCTGCATTAGAACCTGAGTCTTAGGTATTAAAATGGTGGCCTCAGGAATTCTGGGAGTTGAAGTCCACAAGTCATAAATGGGGCCATAGTTCCCCACTTCTGCCTTAGAACCTTTCATATTAAAATGGCAGCCTCGGGAATTCTGGGAGTTGAAGTCCACAAGTCATAAATGGGGCCATAGTTCCCCACTTCTGCCTTAGAACCTTTCATATTAAAATGGCGGCCTCAGGAATTCTGGGAGTTGAAGTCCACAAGTCATAAAGGGACCACCCTGGTTCGCCATCTCTGATCTAAAGAGGCGGGATAGAATTTGGCACAAACACATTTCTCAAAGTTAGCACAATGAAAGAAACTTCCATTTTGCCTGAGCTCAATAGGGACAAATAGCTCACAGGAAGGAACAAACAGTTGCGTGCTGCTGGGATAAATATTTTGTTCATTGCCAAGATTATAACTTGTAAAATGCCTTTGGACCTTATGAGGATTTGTGTATGGCTGTGTGTTGTTGTTTTTTGTAAGGATGATGTAAATATGCCTTATACTGTTAAATGANGATTCTGAATAGAATAGAATAGAATAGAATAATATAATGGAGAATAGAATAGGATTCTGAATAGAATAGAACAGAGGAGAATAGGATAGAATAAAGGATAGAATAGAATAATGGAGAATAGAATAGGATTCTGAATAAAATAGAATAGAATAGAATAATATAATGGGGAATAGAATAGGATTCTGAATAGAATAGAACAGAGGGGAATAGGATAGAATAGAATAATGGAGAATAGAATAGGATTCTGAATAGAATAGAATAGAATAATATAATGGAGAATAGAATAGGATTCTGAATAGAATAGAACAGTAGAACATAGGATAGAATAGAATAATGGAGAATAGAATAGAATAATGGAAAATAGAATAGCATTCTGAATAAAATAGAATAGAATAATATAATGGAGAATAGAATAGGATTCTGAATAGAATAGAACATAGGATAGAATAGAATAATGGAGAATAGAATAGAATAATGGAGAATAGAATAGAATTCTTTATTGGCCAGGTGTGATGGGACACAGAAGGAATTTGTCTTTGGTGCATAAGCTCTCAGTGTACATAAAGAAAAATAAAATACATTCATCAAGAGTCATAAGATACAACACTTAGTGATGGTCATAGGTTACTAATAAGCAATCAAATCCTACTAGGAGACAAATAAAACAATATAAATTGTAAAAATACAAGCAACACGGTTATAGCCCTAAGTGGGAAGAGGTAGATACTAGGAAGGATGAGAAGAACAAGAGTAGTACAGTCCTAGTAAATAGTTTGACAGTGTTGAGGGAATTATTTGTTTAGCGGAGTGATGGTGTTCGGGGGGGACGGGGACTCTCCTTGTGTCTAGTTGTTCTGGTGTGCAGTGCCTTATAGCATCATTTTGAGGGTAGGAATTGAAAATATTGATGTCCAGGAATGCGAGGGGTGTGTAGATATTTTCACAGCCCTCTTTTTGACTCGTGCAGTGCACAGGTCCTCCATGGAAGGCAGGTTGGCAGTAATTGTTTTTTTCCTGCAGTTCTGATTATCCTCCGAAGTCTGTGAAAATAATTGAAGATGGTTGGCCTTTTCTCTCGCTTCTGGCTCACTTCTTTTTCTCCTGATACTATTCTTATTTTGGGGATATATATGCATATTTCAATGCTGTTACCCTACAGCTTGCCTCTGGAAGTCTAAAGTAGGAACTCTCTCCTTGGATGTGATGTTGACTTGATCCTCGCTGACATGCAGGTTCCTTCCACCGATGGTGGTGCAAATTATTAACTCGGTTCTTCAGCAGTCAAGGTGTGTGCAAAGACACACGAGTGTATTTGCTTGCTTTCATTTTGCACCGGGAGCAAGGAAATCTGGGGGTGGGGGGGGGAGTCTTTCCAGGTTTTAACGACACACGGGGGTAGGACGTAAGATGTCGGCGAATTGATTTGATCTGTAATTTCTGCTTTCCCAAAATCGTCTCTTGTTAAGATTTACAGGGTGGCGTCCTTTGAGAGTTGGGCGGCTTCTGATGGATGGAAGCTTTGCTGAGGATGAAAGCCAGGCGAGGCTCGAAGTATGGAAAGATGGTTAATATTTGATCCTCCCCTCCCTTCTCATGAATTGCGAAGTAAACGGACTCCATCTGGGTCTATTTCAGTAGAGAGGGAGAGAGGGAGGAAGAGAGAGAGGGAAAGAAAGAGAAAGGGAGGGGGAGAGAGGGAGGAGAGAAGGAGAGAGAAAGAGAGGAAGAGAGAAGGAGAGAAAGAGGTAGGGAGAGGGAGAGAGAGAGGGAAAGAAAGAGAAAGGGAGGGAGAGAGAGGGGGGAAGAGAAGGAGAGATAAAGAGAGGGGGAGGGGGGAGAGAGAAGGAGAGAAAGAGGGAGAGAGAGAAGAAGGAGAGAGAGAAAGAGAGAGAGTGAGAGAGGGGGAGAGAGAAGAAGAGAGAAAGAGGGAGAGGGAGAGAGAGAGGGAAAGAAAGAAAGGGAAGGAGAGAGAGGGGGAGAGAAGGAGAGATAAAGAGAGGGGGAGGGGGTAGAAGGAAAGAAAGAGGGAGGGGGAGGGAGAGAGGAGAAGGAGAGAGAGAAAGAGAGAGAGGGAGAGAGAGGGGGAGAGAAGAAGAGAAAGTGGGAGGGAGAGAGAGAAAGAGAGGGAGAGAGAGAGGGGGAGAAAGAAGAAGAGAGAAAGAGGGAGAAAGAGAAAGAGAGGCATTCAGATAATCTCACCTCTGAAAACTTTCCCCTAAATGGGGAAGTCATTCTTCTGGAGTTCTTTTGTCCATCTTTTCAGCCACATCCTATCAAATGAGAGGGATCTTGGAGTCCTAGTGGACGACCATTTAAATAGGAGCCAGCCGTGTGCAGCAGCTGCCAAAAAAGCCAACACAGTTCTAGGCTGCA